TCAAACACGTAGCCAGAAAAATAAAAGTGAAAAGAGGTAGACAGAGAGATTAGAAGTCAAAATGGTCCTCGCAAAGATTTATCATGTTCTGTTCAGGGTTTCTACCTGTTTGGTTCTGCCCCTTGAACTGATTGGTGAGCATGGATTGTTTTATGAAAGCATTCAACTTCCCAAAGTATCTTTGAGTCTTTGTAATAGGTGAAGATACAATCATTTGGGATTCACAGCAAGATCAAATATCTAATTTTCTTAAAAATTTGTGGTAGGATTACTCAGTATTTCATTTCCTTCTCTTAAAAATTGTCATTTGAACAAATTGCTATGAAGCAATTACATAAAATTGCAATGCATAATAAACAATGTTTTTCTTACAGTGTAATAGTTTTAACATACCTAGATGGTTCAAATGGCTGTTTTATTATGATAATCTGTTTATTTTCTGGAGGGGGGCAGGGACTTGTCTATCACTGTAAATTATAATTTTATTTTGATTCACAAATGGTCAGAGTACCTCTGCTGATTTTTATGCATTATGTTGGCAGCATTAAGGAAAATATGTGATGAGAATATGGAAGAAAATGTGAAATTAACATCCCTTAATTATGCTTTTTCTAAATATTCTCCTCATTTTACTCTCTTCCTTTTATACCCATGTAACTTCACCAAATTATCATCTCTCTCTTCCTATGTGAGAAAGAAAGAAACCATGTGTATTAATTTTATGTGGCTGCTGTGTCAAATTACCACAGACTTAAACAGCTTAAAACACAAATTTATTATCTCTGCAGTTGTATAAGTTAGAAGTCTGATACAGCTCTCTCTGGGCTAAAAATCAAGGTGTCCACAAGGCGGCATTTCTTCTAGAAGCTCTAGGGGATAAAACATTTCTTAACCTTTTCTAGCTCCCAGAAGCCACCCACATTGCACAGCTTATAGCCCCCTTCTCTACCTTCAAAGTACGCAGCATTGCATTTCTCTGTGTCATTCTTTCATAGTCACATCCACCTGTAATTCTCTTCTTTTGCTTCTCTTGTTCACTTTTAAAAACCTTTGTGGTTAAGTTGGATTCATCCTGATAATTCAGGAGGTAATCTCCCTATTTTCAATGCAGCTAATTAGCAACATTAATTCCATTTGCAACCTTACTTTCTCTTTGACACACAGCCTAACAATTCAAAGGTTCTGGAGATAAGGACATGGACATTCTTGTGGGCCATTATTTTGCCTATGATTCCATGCCTGAGATTCTGTGAGATGTCACTCTTCCTGGGGAATAAAAGAACACTGGGGAGTGGGAGGAAACTGCTTTCTTCCTGATATTCAAATAAACATCCTACAGTGGTGGTACACTCTTGTTATTCACTCATGAAAGGATCATATATATTTATTTGTTATGAGCTTTAAAAGACCATGTCCCACACGAGGCTTCTCATGCATTGTTATGCAAGAGTCCTCCAGATCAAAAAGCTTTAACAGATTGGATGCTCTTTGTTGGGGCGCCAAAACTTGATGTACCCAGCTATATTTCAGAACACACATTAGCTACTGATTGTTAGTTAGCAAGGGTAGAGTTAGAGATCAGAAGTATTTAGAGGAAGAGGCAGAAGATAAGAGACAGGGAGTACAAACTGGCACACAGTTTTTGCATTGCAGGGTTTCAGATCAGTGGAAAGTGTCATGTCATTGTAGCTACGCCTAAAGGCTCAGAGTCAAAAGTGCCAGACCTCATGCCCAGAACTTGGTTTGAAAGAAGCCTATATTGGTCCCAAGGTCTTTGGAGGACATCGCCATAGTGACTATCATAAATACCGGCTTCAGATACAAGAATAGGCACCAAGATAAATTGGGGGAAATGCCAGAAAATGACATTCTCTCCTTAAAGGGAGAAATGTTTTGAGTAAAGTCTTATCTCTAAGGAAGAGTGTTTACTCTAGACATAAAATAAGGATGAAGACATTGAGGTGTTTCTGAAAAGAAATAAAGAGAGCATGAAAAAAAAAATGCTCTTAGTACAAGGCATGGAAAAACTGTTTCTCACCCTTTTACATAGATGGAAAGGCAAAATAAATTTAAAAAATAAATAAATAAAATAAAATAAAAGAAAGAAAAGTTAAGATGGTTCCAAATGACTTTTGTTTGTTAATACAGTGTTAAAGAATACGTTTTAGAAAGTAATTATTTGCTAAAATAAATAAATTAATTAATTAAAGCCTGAAAAAAAAACCCCTCAACATTCACTACTCGTTTGATAGCTACTGCACACTAATAATTGTTTTAGAAGTGCTATTTCTATTCCCCTCTAAAGTACTTCTAGGTGTGGGCTGGCCCTGTGGCTCACTCGGGAGAGTGCAGCACTGGTAGTGCCAAGGCCGCAGGTTCAGATCCTATATGGGGATGGTCGGTGCGCTCACTGGCTGAGCGTGGTGCAGATGACACCAAGCCAGGGGTTATGATCCCCTTACTGGTAAAAAAAAAAAAAATAAAGAAAGAAAAGAAAAGTACTTCTAGGTGTATATTATTATCCTCCAAAATTTACAGATGAAGTAAGACTCAGAGAAGTTAAAAGATGTACCAGAGATAATGTAGGAGAACTGAGTTTTAAACCCAAATCTTCATGACTATTAAATACCAAACTCTTTATCTAAGTAATGCTGGTTCCCAAACAACCCCCAATGTCTCCTAAATAGGATAAAATAATTTTACATAAATTATCTAAAAATAAATAGATTGCAAAACCTAAGGAAGCACATGTTATTTTGGTTGTGTGCCTCACAAAATTCATTGAACTTTGTATAACACTAAAGACACAATGCGTTTTTCTAATTCATTTAATTCAGCTTTCAGATGACAATTGTGTTTAGATTCATAAGGAGAGGGGTGGGCAGAATGTTTTATATGCTGAGCTAGAGAACGAACAACAAAGACACACTCAGAGGGTGGAAGAAGCAGAACGCGAAGTCCCCACTACTGAAAAACACCACTATTCGCTTTCTCTCTGTTCCCAATATTTTCTGCTAACACATAAAAATCTTATTTGAACAAAGAGAATTCCAAGATGTCTCTTCATAACATATACTACCACTTTGAAAAACTGCAGGTATCTCACAAAAGAAAATCTATAGCATTTCCAAATGTCATTTGAAACTGATTCAGTTCCTCCCTCTCAAAATACTTTAAATATTATCAAAATACAGTTTCTGACTCTCTTTAGACTCTAGAGCCTGCCTTCAAATACGGATGTAGAAGCAGTGTGGGATGCGGACAAGGTGCAGATTGGAAGTGAGACAGCCTGAGCTGATGAATCACGCCCTTGCACATACGGCTTCCATTTCTCCATTCCAGAGCTTCAGTTTTGCCCAGTGTAAAATAGCAATAATAGTACCTGCCACAATTGGAAGTGAGACAGCCTGAGCTGATGAATCACGCCCTTGCACATACGGCTTCCGTTTCTCCATTCCAGAGCTTCAGTTTTGCCCAGTGTAAAATAGCAATAATAGTACCTGCCACATGCATTACAGTGGAAATAAATATAATAATATAATTCTTAGCTCAGTGCTTATGTATGAATTTTTTGATATTTTATATTTCTTTATTTTCAATATTTATATTGTATAACATGAAATCTTGATATATGTATACATTGTGGAATTGCTAAATCAAGCTGTTTAACATATGTATTACCTCACACACCTATTCTTTTCTGGTGAGAACACTTAAAATCTACTCTTTTAGCAATTTTCAAATATAAAATGTATTGTTATTAACTGTAGTCACTATGATGCACAATAGACCTCCTGAACATATTCCTCCTGTTTAACAAAATTTTGTGTCCTTTGACCAACATTTCCTCATAATAAATGCATTTATCATCATTAGCATTATTAATAGTAGTGCTAGTTGATGTAGTAGTATTTTTAACTCCTCATTCATCAGTTCCAAACTCGTTTGCCTGGATTCAATGCCCCTCAATGTGCCTCAGTAATACTTCATTTAGAACTAAGACATAAATGCTGATGTGCTTGCCATCATCATTCCACTAAATTTTCACTTCATACTGACACACCACTGAATAAATATAGTCCTCAAACTTTGCAT